AAATTAAACTGTATAGCTCGCTATGTTTTGCCATTATTTAATAAAGACAACTGTCAACTGAAGACTAATTATCGGCCTGTTTCACCTTTGCCATGTTTACCTAAGATCTGTGAGAAAGTAGCCTTTTTTCATCTTTTTGATTTTCTTAATATGACTGGTTTCTTTTATAGGTTGCAAAGTGGTTTTCGTCCAGGGGATTCCACTGTAATGCAACTCGTGTATATATTGTTCACGAAATTTATGAGGCCCTTGATTAAGGCAGTGAGATGAGGGCAGTTCTTCTTGATATATCCAAAGCTTTCGATAGAGTTTGGCATCGCGGTCTGATAGCCAAGTCAAGAAGCATTGGAGTTGAGGGGAATTTGTTAAACGGCTGGTTTATAAGTTACCTTTCTTGTCTTGGAAGTGGAAATTAGCTATTATAAGGTTGCGGGTGAAACTGGGTCGGTGTTGTGTCGGTTTGCATTATGGGACTGTTTGGGAGCTATTCGCTTGTTTTATTGGTTATTTTATACGAAGTCGCGCAGGGAACTGGGTCAAAGTTCCCCCGCCAAAACAATCCCACGGTGCAACCCGCCTTGCCGTCCGTTGGGGGAGACAGATGCCATTTCACACAAATCCGAACCAGGCAACATGGCCAATGCAGTTTTCTTTACCCGCTTTATCTTATACATGTATGTACCCCTAACCCTCGCTATAAGTGCAAGTGCTACGTAGTTTCGCTCACCATTTGTCGTGATGACGATTCTTAACGAGGCCCCATTAGGGGTTTTCGGGATACGGGATATTCGCGGAAAAAATTACTGGGATACGGGATATTTGAGGAAAAAGTTATTGGGATACAGGATATTGAGAAGTAGTTTCACGGATACGGGATATTCGCAAAAAATTGTAACATATCAGATGTTTGATGAGAAACGTTCTTGGATTACTAAATACATGCCCTTTTCTGTATTTTTGTTGATGATTAGATATAAATGAAAAATATATAAGTGCAAAACAAACCGTTTGACCAGTCATCGATTCATCATGGGCACTATGTGGGGGTAACATGAAGAACTAAAAATAGCGCGCCAGCACTCGATTGAGGCTGCACCACCTGATCGAGGCGAATGGTTGATTAATACCAAAGATAAACTGCTGTTTGACACAAGTTGTGCCATTTGTGCCACTGGACTGCACAGAACACATGAATTAACCAAATGCTCAGGACGGCAACTAACTAATAAAGGAACAAAATGAGAAAGGACTTTGGTATCAGGCGATATGTAGAAATTAAGGGCATCAGGTAAGCTAATTATATTCATAGCCGTACGGAAAATTTTTTGCCCGGGGTTGTGGGGGCGGTAAACTATTTGCCCAAAAAATTCTCGCAAGTTGCCCAGATTTTTACGAAACAGGAGAAAAGAAACGAGGGCCATACGATGCAACAGCGTGGGCCGTACTGGCATATGAAGGTGGCTCGATACTGCAACAGTTTTTCAGGGTCAATACCTCCCAATTTTGAGCATAACTATGTCGCCATAGACAAACATTTGGAAAAATTGCTACCATAGTTTCATTAGATATAGATGAAAATTTATCATAGGGTTTTAATGACATCGGAGTTGTCATAGCAACGAAATGACGCCATTGTCTATTTTACTTGCAGTAATATTTCTTGGCACTGGGAACTGTTGCTACAGAATTGTTCACGGGAACTTTTTTCTCCAACAGTCGCGTCGATGTTCGTGAAGTTAAAACGGAATCTATAAAAGAGTTATCGGGATATTTAGGGATGAAGTTTTAGAAATATGCTAAAAAATAATCTTGATGTTTGGCCGTTATCTGTAGAAAACGAATCTCTTTTGACATGCAATTTCACTCCATAGTAGCTTCAATCTTTTCAAAAACGTGTGTAAAAGATCATGGAGGTAGCTCCTGCCGATCGCTAGAGAGAAGGATTCCATTATATTTCATTAGTATGCATCGAGGCGCTCTTGTTAGCGGTTTTGTAAACATTTCGGTCTACCTTAATAAATTATTGCTTGATAGATTATGAAAAAATATTAATATTCGTCTCGTAATTCGAGCTGAGTTCTAGTCAGCCACTGTTCTATACACTGTTCTACGGGCGGAGATGATTCTAGGAAGATACGCGGAAGTTTATTCTAATAAATTCACGACTGGAAAGAGCCCATTCCTGTCAGTGCAGTGCAGTACAGTGCTCAACAATAAAAAACTATAAATATGTAAATCAACAAATGATACCCTTCCCTATAACCAGAAACTCATCACGTGCTAAGCAACCACTGTGACTGTCTCGAGAGAATGTAACTGGATTATTACGCTGACTTCAGGATTTTTTTCAGATTAAAATAGAAAATATTTGTCTCTTTAAACTAATAAAAAAACACGGAAACGTCTTTAAAAAATGGCTTTGCCCAAATTTTCTCTTGCTGCCCAAAAAATCTGAGTTGCCCAAAATTTGGGGGGGCTGCAGTCCCCCCTCGCCCCCCCGGCCCGTATGCCTATGATTATATTAACTGGTATACAAAAGTGATTTTGGTGGCAACATTTGTTAACTTTCCACTTGATATCTACCATATTTTGAATGACAGCAGTTTAAACAACTGTCACAATAAGCTCCTTGAAAACCATACTTTTCCAGTTTACGTTTAAATGCCAGTGAACGAATATTATAAAATATATCGTGGCAAATACTTTAATTTCCGGGATATTTGTGACCGGAATTTATGGGATACGGGATATTTGGTCAAAAAATTACAGGGATACGGGATATTAAGACCCCCCCTAATGGGGCCTCCTTAACGGACACCCAAAACTCAGGTGTTTGGTGTTCCTTAGCAATTTTTCAGTCTCTATAAGGCGTGTAATTACGGCCAGTCGGATTGTCCATTTCATTCAGTCTAACTCTTTTACTTCCAGAAGTGATTGAAATGAAAATAAGACAAAGACTGAATTCCAAATTTAATTTTGGAAAATGCTGAATGACAAATAGTACCACGTGAAAGTACTGTGGAAGAGGATTCTTTTGAATGGTCATACCATAAGATTTCGTCCAAAAGACTCGAAAGTCACTTCCGCAGTACCGAAGAGTACAACATTCACTCTGCGGGTGGAAAAATTAAGGAGAGTACATTGTTTTTTCAGTATTTTAGTTGGTAAAAAAGGTATCTCGGATAAGGAAGAAAAACCGTATGTCCCGTCTCACAACACGCTCACTTATCTGGTTCTTGTCGGACGTAAAAGAACCCACACCACTGTTCTAAAAGAGTAGGGGACGTAGTCACCGGTAGTGTGGCCAACCTTTCCTGGGTGGGTGTGTTAGCTGTAAGGAGAGATCTTAATATACAGATAACCTCGTGATCGTACTTCAGGTGACGTAATTGTTACCTGTAAACAGTTTATCTATGTACCACAGTTCCCGTTAAAATGTTACGTACCATACATACACACACCAAAAAAAAAAAAAAACAAAACAAAAGGAACTGCCAGATAATTTCAATGTGATACGGCATCTTTATACTATACTCATTCAATACTTATTCAAGAAAAAAAAAGCAAAAAGCAGGCTAATTCAAAAGCTTATTTTGAATTTAAGAACACGAAGATCACCTTCATTGGATCAAAACTTAACAGAAATATCAATAAGCTACAGTCTAGTCATCAGCGTGAGTTTCTCATTTAATTGGCATAATATTGAAAGGATTCAAATTAGAAAATGATAGTCTATAAAATAATTTTTTGACAAAAACGACTAAACAAACAATATTATTATTGTGTCGTTAAGCAGTTCACCAATCAGAAGTCAAGACAACGTGAGACAGCGGTAATTGTTTCAAGGCAAAATAACGTCATGTAAGGCTAATACTTGTTATGATATGCTCAGATTTCCGTCTTCCATAAAAAAGAAAAAAGTCTGCTTGCTGTTCCCCTTTCTGTATTTGAAAGTTTTAAAGGGGCTGTGTCACAACAGTGCAGTTCATTTTGTTTAATTTTGCCAATTACTCGCCCTCAATTGCTATGGAGCTTAAAGTAAGCAAAGAAATTACATGGAGATGACGAAATCAAAGATTCCAGATAAACAAATATGTCTCATCAACTTTGAAAAACTGTTAGGCTGAACAGTTTTCAAAAACCCTAATTGCAATCCATTTTAATCTTCTTCAATTTTGCCATCCGTGGCATCTGTTGTATCTGTGCTATTTTAACCTTCCTTTAATGTTTTAAGCGGTTATTTTCACGTTTCTCTTATTTTAACGGACATTTTGTAATTACCTAATTTGGCTGAATTTCGTGACACAGCTCCTTTAAAGCAAAGGCGTTTTTGAGCCACGCATTTCAACCGGAATTGAGGCCTTTTCCCTGTCAATAGAGAGGTTAACCCTTTAAGTCCCAGTGGTGACCAACATCAATTTTCTCCTAACCATATCCATAGGTTATCCAGAGATTAGGTCATGAGAATTAATAAATTGATCACCTAAGAGGAAATGCTTTGATCTTTTATCAAATTCTCCCAACACATTCTTTAAGGAAATGTATAGAGATCAGTTTGGAGAATTCGTATGTGGATATTGGGGCTTAAAGGGTTAAGCATCACGTTTATGTCAAACGGTAAACACAAATTTGTATCACGTGACCAAGTTCCCCCCCCTAAACTTGTCGTTTACTGTTCATTATTTCTACACATAAATTAGTAGTTTCGCGCACTTTTTTATCCACAAGAATTGTTTTGAGCTGTTTTTATCTGCTCATTTTCTACTTTGAGAAATTCTCAACCTGAATCTGACGTTTGCCGTATACGTGAAGCTTAAACTCTCTAATATACCTTGACGCTAACAAATGTGTCTTACTGAGTGTCTTAATAGAGACGATTTTCCCGAACGTTTGGGCAAAAACATTGCCCAGGAAAGCAAGAAGTCCACTTTCGGTGACGTTCGTCGCTTAAAAACGTCTTTGCTTAAGCTTGCTATTCAGGAATGAAGGTGGGGAGGGGGCTGTCTATGGAACCCCGTATTTCACCGAAACCATGCAGTACAAACGGTAATGAGTCGTAAATTAAAAATCACGTTCAACAACAATTGGCTCTCACATCTGGAATGATTGCTTGTACGCAGTGCAAACCAGCAACCAGGGATAGCAGTTTCCTTCTTCTTTGGTAGAATGATTTTGATTTACTAGGTAGTTTGTCCATTTTTTGAGTGTTCACAAGCTGTACGAGGTTTATTATTCTAAGTCGAGTCATTCATTTCTTAATCTTCCAGCGACCGGAACGCTTGCTGCATTTGTTCATTAAGCTCTGCAAAGTCTGCTTTAATTTTAGCTTCGCCATCTTTGTTAGGGTCCTATGAAGGAAAGAAATACATAATTACAATGACAAGCTGCGAGCAAGCTCTCCATTTTGGGGAATGTCGTGAAAAGTAGAAGCGCGAGAGGAGACGCGACAGCAGGCGGAGCTTTTGTCGGGCATAGTGGCCCTAGTAGCATCATTTGCCCCGAGCGGAGCAAGGGTGCAAATGATGCTACGAGGGACACAAATAAACTATAGTTGAACCTCCCGTAAGCGACCACCCAAAATGCAAAGACTGAGTGGTCGTTTACGGGAGGTGGTCGTTCACAAGAATCGAACCACAGGGGTCTCTTCCGAGAAGAGTGCCAGGCACATCTATTTTATGGAAGATTATCTATTGCATGCAATTTCCAAGTTACGTTCTTCATACATGTCGTATATTCCAAGTAGCATAGTGCACATAGCGTACGTAGAGATCAGAGAATGCGTCAAGTTGTCGCTTACAAAAGCTTAAAAACAATAGAAAATCGTTAAACTTTCAGGCCCAAAAAGTGGTCGCGGTCGCTTACAGGAGGTGGTCGTTTACTAGAGGTTCCAACTGTAAGGCTTTGACAGGGAAAATTTTGGTGTTTCGGATTGGCGGTCGCTTATGGGAGGTGGTCGCACATGGAGGTTCGACTGTATATGCCCGACAAAGGTCATGTGATTATCATTATTATCAATACACAAGGCCAAATCGCACAAATGTATTTCATAAGGAAAGATTGTTTAACACGAAATCATGTTGCGGGCTGCAAATTCCATTTACAGATTGCACTTTGCCGTTTGGCCAGCGAAAAGGGGCGTTTTAGAGAGGGCAGTTTGTCATTTGGACGCGTGTAGTGATAATAATAGGAATTCTTCGTAGGGGGGTATGCCGCCCGGTTCTCCAAATCCTGACCCTAATTCAGACCAAAAAATTGGCATTTTATTTTTTCATACCCCTTTTCAGGGTCACAAATGCGACATGAAATTATGATCACTACTTAAATCTGAACACGAACAAAAAGATGTCTTAAAAATAGTTCCCTTGAAGACTATACCCTATTCCAGACCTAAATGGGTAAAGACAAGACCCGTTTACTGTTTCCAGACTGAAACGGCGCAAAAACCCTACCCTCTAGGGTGACACAAGCCTTATATGAGGGAGTACCCACGGGGGCTTAAAGGCCGCTGAAAACCGTCAACCAACGGGACATAACTTTAACATAGCTTTTAACTTTATTATTTATATAGCGCAAAATACATTGGTATATGACCTAATGCGCTTTACATTACAATGCCTATAATACTATAATGAAATGGATAAAAAATGACAGCTTTTCTAAATAGTTAATAAATGGATACTAGATAAAAATATCATATGCGTGGGTGATGTTTAAAATATTATAGGTTTTTTGCGTTGCCGGTTTAAAATAATGAGTTTTTAACCGTGTCATAAAAGTTTTGAGACTGCCCAAAGCTTTCAACTCGTCTGGAAGGGCGTTCCACAGGGTCGGCGCGGCTGAAAAGAACGCCCTGTCTCCTGTTGTCTTCTTGGTCTTGTTGGGCAGATCGAGTAGTAAGTGTTTTGTATTTGATCGCAGGTTATAAAAAAGTAAACAAATAACCATGACTGACCTTAAATTTCATACTTGACAACTGGTAAATAGTCTGCCCCATATTTTCTTTAATGACTGCCCAAGTGATCTTGTTATCGGACTGTGCAGTTGTCTCCACGGCGTGTCGTGCCATGTCGTAAAATGCTACAATGTTGGACAGCATACCGACTGTCTTGTAGAAAGGACAGTAACGATCGTACGGAGAGTAACCATTCTGTTGTAAGAAGTCATCTTTGATAAGTTTGGCTACCTCGAGCGTGATTTTATCTGCTTCAGCCAATGAACCCTGCGGGTGGAAAATCAAGATTACATGTATTCTCAGCACTCGAAATATAGACTACATCACAGAGTTAATCACACCCAGTCTAGTTTAACGCATTCCTGTGAGATCGGTGTTCTCTAGGGAGGTGACTCTTACTGCATTCTGCCCTTCAAACTTGATCGAGCGCCCACCCACAAGAGAAGACGGGGACGGCCCTCCCAACCCTCTCTAGAACTTCATCTCAAAAAAAGTTCGCACCTTCTCCTTGGAGCTCGATCAACGCTACCATTGTGAAAAAGAATACAATAACATCGCACAGCCCGAAAAACATTCTGTACATACAAAAGTTAATGGTCTGTATATAAATTCCGGCTGAGCAGTCAAGTTTAAACACACGACTTGCCTTTCCTACAAGCTGCACTATCTCGGATAAATCTTCTTCCTCTTGCAAGATTTCTTTGACCTAAGGGCAAAATAATAGATATGTCAGAAATAATCAATAATTGTTGATAATTGTCGTATGTTTTCGTGATTTTAAGTGGTATTTTCTTAATACCAGACTATAAACCAAACCGAGATGTTTGACATCAAGCTTTCAACATACCTCATCAACTTCAAAGTTAGAACTGCTTAAGGAAGAGTAACCACTCTAATTTAGGAATAGGTCAGTGTCATTTTGTTTCGAGTTTTGAGTTTGACAGTCAAATTCTATGGTGTTACTACTTATACAACACCCCTTCGGCAGTTTTTCGCAAGCTACGTTTTGCTTCGTCGTGTTTAACATAATAAACTTGACGTTCTTCTTGCCTTGAATTTTGAAGGCTCTAAGAAATTTATCATTGAAATGGCACCGAAAAGAAGCCTTTACTTACTTTTGTTCTAAGAGCTACGAATTCAGAGTAGTTTTTCTCGTAGAAATCATCTAAGGCTCTCAAGTATTTACTGTGACTTATAAGCCAGTTGATGGAAGGGAAGTGCTTTCTTTGAGCCAGCTTCTTGTCTAAACCCCAAAATACCTGCAACGCAAATATACCACACCTTAACTCTTGGCTGGTCAAAAGGAATAAGCCGGGGGAAATGTCATTGTCATCTGTTTGTTAGCCTGTAAATGCAGCCGTATTTTCGGTTGTAGCTTTCCTCCGCTCGTTCGCAGGCTATTTGTTTACCCACTAAACAAGAGAAACAGCTACAAACAAGTGTTCGTGTGTTCATCGAGGAACGGAAATTTCAGGGTGGAAGTGCTGGCTTTTGAGGACAAGAGATTAGCAGAGAAACATAAAATATAACTTCTCGGAGTAATCAAAAACACCCGAGCTACATTTTAGCGTTCGCTTGTATCGAACCCTTGGTTTATACGGAAAACACTATATTGAGGTTCGCAGTGGTTGTTTATATTAAACGTCTTGTTTTTCTGTTTTTATTCGCTCTCGTTGGCAAAACTGTAATAACATCCAATTCCATACACAACATGCATCAAAATGTACAATAAAAATGTAAACCCTCGCAACTAACATCTGTTTTACAAACCTGAACTATACCCAGAGTAGCAGAGGTGACAGGATCGGAGAAATCTCCACCGGGAGGGGATACTGCACCGACAATTGACACACTACCCTCCCTGTTTGGGTTGCCAAGGCATTGAACGCGACCTGCGCGCTCATAGAATGAGGCTAGTCGGGCACCAAGGTATGCTGGGTAACCACTATCTGAAAAACGAGGAATACATATCAGTGTCATTTAAGAACTTAAGAATTACAGTTAACAAAGTTGTTTGAATACACCATTTTTTCTTCAGCATTTTTCTTTTCTTTTTCTAAAAATTCAGTACTGTTATTGCTAGTCAACAGCCAGGCTTTTTAGTCACTACTCTACTTTCTCTGAAAGACCAGCCACTTTTAAGAACCTTAAAACCTTAATGACAGCCCTAAGTTATTGTTAGCTTAAATCTTTACATTAGCACAATAGCAGTCTTTACCTGAGAAAATCACGGCCACACAAGACAGAGAAGTTGACTTTCAATTAGCTTTAAAAAAACGGGGAGATGTATTTCTAAGTTATAGGCTTGACCATTCTCAGTTTACCCATCAAAGCCTTCTTTTAGCGTGTCTGTCTGTAAGCTTACGTATGCTGTTCTTCTGCACTCAAGGTTTTAGTAAACGCTTAAGTTGTGGTAAATGACTGCATGACAACAATAATAAAGCAGCCCTCTTAAACGCGTATCTCCTTCGTCTGAGGATATACAGTTTGGGTTAGGAAATTGTGTCACGTTATACCATACCTGCAGGCATTTCTGCCAATCGTCCAGAAATCTCACGGAGAGCCTCGGCCCAACGGGAAGTGGAATCGGCCATCATACTCACGTTATAACCCATGTCGCGGAAATATTCAGACAAGGTGATACCTAGAGGAAGGGTGGATGACGTACTGGTCATGTAACTGTTATATGATATATTCATGGGAAAACTATTACTTTGTCTCCTTAGTTCATAAACATGTTTTTCTCTTGTGTCTATTTGGGTGGGTTTTGGAAGTTTCTGGCCAGGATCATGAAAACAAAAATGAAGCCCCAACATTATCACTTTTTTTAACATTTCAGTACTACTAAAAAGGTTTCTTTTAATTTGTCACACTTAAGCGGGATTTCGCTTAACTAAAACACAATTCTCAAATCTGATTGGCTATCAACTGCCCTGATGTCAGCCTTAATAAGACAGTTTAATAGGACAGTACGCGCCATCACGCGCGCTTAAAAACAAGATCTTGGAATTTCTTGTGTTTTGGTTTAAAAAAGATCCTTATATATCATAAATTTTATTTAAGTTATGATTAATTGGTAACAGAACTTCGTGTCGTCTAATTCTGTCTGTAATCGTACTCTTGATTAAACAAATCGGACTCCTTCTTAATAACTCGTATGATTACAGACCGAATTGGACTCCACTCAGTCCTGTTACCATTACTAATAGTTTTTGGGATTTGAAAGATCAGTAGCAAAGAAGGGAAAACCTTTTGGCGGTTAAATATAAAATCATGACGCTAAGGGCAGAGAGATAATGTTGCCGAGACATCCTAGTTGACATCATGTGATACTTTTAAGCCAACAAGATCACAAGGAATTAATCCGCAGGGGCTGAAGGTGTAGTATTGTGTCGTAAAACTTAGTAACGTACCAGTGTAGATGGAGGCTTCTCTTGCAGCCACAGGCATGTTCGAGGTATTAGCGACCAAAGCAGTACGCTTCATAATGGATTCAGTCACTCCACCAAGCTCAACTGTTAACTTAAGAAAGGCATTAACGCCTGTTATTATCCTCATGTACGACTGCCACCGAGACAATCCCAGATTCACTGGACTAACACTTACAGTGTCAGCGCATTGATATCAACTGATTTGGTACATACTAAAACGTGACGCGTTTTTGATGCCCCCCCCCCCCCTGGGTATCGAAGTCGGGTTTTCGGGCAATCAGTCATACGTCCCGGAGTCTCGATTTTTTTTGCCGACAGGTCTCGGAGTCCCGGATTTGTCTTTATATCTTCCGTTTGGTCTTCAGGAGTCGAATTTTTCAGAGTTCATGGGTACAGCTTATAAATCGAACTCAACTAGTAAATTAAGAAAGTAAAAACAAGACAAAGCAGTCTACTGGTGGGTTTCCGCTAGCTTCTATTGGCGTTTTCGGTCATTTTATTTAGCTTTATTTGTACCAGTATCTCATGTATTTCGTAGCTTAGAGTTTTAAGAAGTATTGCCTCGGGCTCGGATTTGATGAAAGCGCTTGAGTCTCGGTCTCGAATTTTGCAACAAGGGTCTCGCATTCTCGCAAAGTCTCGATTTTACCATTCCTATGCCACGAGGCCCAAAAGACACCTATCCCTGATGCTTAAACCTGATTTACCAGAGGCGCAGCTTCACAACGAAAAATATAAAGCCCATTTACCTCAGGAAAATCTCTCAATACTTCTGACATTTCATTTCCTCTCTCTCCACAACCGACATAGATTATGACGTCGGAGTTTGAAAACTTGGACAAAGACTGCGAGATGACAGTCTTTCCACAACCAAAGGCACCTGGGATAGCTGTTGTGCCACCTTGTACACATCTAAAATTGCGACAACGACAAAAGTTCGAGTCTTAATTTATTGTCAAGAACAAAACCATAAGCCTAGCAAATTGCCAGAAAGAAATATTCATTATTATGTTCTAGTCGTTTAAGCGAAGGTAAAACGGACAGTCAAAACGTGCAACTTGTTTTTCAACATCGCTGCAAAACAAATTGAAAAACTATGTTGCAGGTTTTACCACCCACGTCCAAACTTGTCCTGCATGAAAACAGGTCGCTGTAAGTTGGGTGAATACTAACAACTGACTGGTTGAAATTGGGTCACTTGCTGCCAAAAAAGTTTGCCTTGGGCCGGTAAAACGTGCAACATGTACAGATTTTGTTGCAAAAGCTAGTCTCTACTTTTTGCACCAACTTTTCGCAACCTGTAACATCCTGATTTGTTGAGTGCAAGACAGGTTTGATTCGTGGGTAGTAAAAACGCGCAACATCGCAGCAATGCTGCAAAGCAAGTAGCTCGTTTTAGTTACTCGTTTTACCCTACCTTAACAGACAAATTGTAATCAAGAAACTTACGGGAACAAGGCGTCCAGCACCCTCTGTCCAGTTAGCAGGGGATAGTTTGCTGCAAGCTTTTCTGCTACGGGTCTCATTTGCCGTACAGGCCAAATCTAAAATGCAAAGAAATTTCTTTCATTGTTCCATATAATCAAACAAAAAGGAGGGGCGACCCTGCGTCTCTAGAAACGGAATTCTCGTATTGAAAGATGCGACAGTCGCGGTCTCACGAGATAGCTAAAAACTGTAACTACGAATTAAAGGATCATGTATGAAATCTGTGGAAACGTCTCACCGTAACGGGCCTTTGATTGAAGAGAAATACAGTCGAATCGCGCTATACGGTACAGACAACTAGAGAAACTCAGAGATGATTAATCTGACGATGCCGATTGCCTGTTTTATTTCTTAAGTATTTTGTTCCCGGGAAAGGTGGTTTTTTGACTGAAATAACATGACCCACTTGATACGGACACTTTCTACGGCCTCCTCAGTATCTGTATTAACGGGGTTTTGTTTGCCGAAATCTGAAGTTCCACTACCTTTCTGGGTTTAATAACAACATGCAGTAAGGAGAAACCAATCATGTCACGTATGTAAGGGACAAATCACCTGCAGAACAAATCCGTTTTGATGCTCCCTCCTGCGAATAACAGTCACTCATCTGACAATTTCCAACTAAAATTGTGTGACAAAATTGTAATGCATAGGTTACCGGTCAAGTCGCCCGTCATCTCGCACGAAGTTATATCACCCGAAACAAGAGTCATGTCGCCCGAAATTTTTAGTCAAGTCGCCCGAAAATTAATAGTGTGTGTAATATATATCGTTGTTTAAGCGATAATGAGACAAAACAAGCGGGATAATTGTGTAATTAAGTCTCCTTCTTTAAGTGTTATCTATGGTGAAACGAAACAAGCCCGGGGTGAATGTGTGTCATAACCCGTTCTTTATGAGATGAAGAGAAGAAACAAACGAGATGAATGTGTAACATCGCGTTCTTTTAGCCCTGATGGAACGAAACAAGCACGTCAAATGAGTAACATATCTTGTTCTTAAGGATTTGATGAATCGAAACAAGCGCTATTACGATGTTGCTGAGCGTGACAAAATTTTGGGCGACTTGACAAAAAATGTCGGGCGACATAACTCTGATTTCGCGCGACATAACTTCGGGGGAGATGACTTTCGGGCGACTTGTCCAATGACCGTAACTCGTAAATGGCCTACTGTGGTCGGACATGAAGTGCAGCCGGCGTTGATACAAAGGACCATCATTATTAAAAGAGTCCTTAACTACACAGCACCTGTAACATAGTGTGTTTGGTCTTCTCTCCATCAAACTCTGTTTCCAAGACAACATCCTGCAAAAATCATTCGAACAATTCATTAATTTGGGGACATTGATCTGCCATCTTGAACAAACAAAACAAGACAAATAAACTCTATTTGGATGTCAATGTATTTAGCACTAAAGTACTAATTGAGAACACTACTTTTACGTCTGTGATATTTTTGCAGTCTGGAGACTGGACCACCACTTTACGTGGTCATCTGAGCTATGTGAAGGTCTAGCCTTTTGCAGGGCAGGCAAGGGTCAAACAATATCATGTCAATAGCTTAAATGCTACTTACATTAACAGTGTAGCTTCCTGCTGGGGCGATATATGTAACTGTACCCCGAGCCTTGGGGTGAAGTGCCAGTCTGTGCTTCAGGAGAGAATTCTCATGTACTATACCAAACATATCGCCCCCAGTCACATGGTCTCCAATCTAAGAAACATGAGGAATGTCAGTATAAATCTATCATGGCACAATGCTGGTCCATAATTGTCCAATATCAACAGACTTATCATGGTTTTTGGTAGCAACACATGAAGCACAAGAAAATGTTCTACTTTATTTTATCCACACAGTTAAGTACGTTGAAAACTGAGGCATAGTTTTCCTGGTAAATGCTTTGATGTTTCATAAAGTGTCCAGGGGTTTCAATAAGCACCAATGACCAACGAAACGCACTACTTTTCTCAGAGCAGTTGGCTACTTAATTTTGAATATTGACATTTGTTCATTGCTTGTAAGAATTGATTGTGCAGCTATGAAACCTGAATGATGGCTATTTTTTCTTTCTTGAATGAAAAACACATTCTTTTGTACTCAATTCAGTCCTCAGAATGAAGGCACTAGGGGAGCTGCGCTCTTGCTGTTTTTTGATTAGATCAGTTTTTTTTGGAATGCCCAGTAGGAGACTCTGCAGAGGAAAGACGTGTAGGTAGGATGACAATAATTGAATGGCCACTTTGCTACTTCATGATACACACAACTAACCTTGAATCCTTCTGGCTGGTAATCCCATGACGCCGTCCTACTCAATGCTTCAGTATTGACACCACGAGGAATGTAAATACTCTGTGTCAACTCATTAATATCCTGCGTGCGGAAATGAAGTAAAACTGACTGACGTGGCCATAAGAGGACTAATACAACGTTAGGTATACAAAACAGGGACTTGAGCCATATGCACTGATAATTGAATGGTCCTATGGTCTGGTGTAACACAAGCTTACTGAGTCCTTAATTCATTTTGACTGTGAAAAGGCTAAGGCTGCGTGCAAACAGATGTAACAACTCCCAACATTGTTGCACCAGCAATGTTGGGAGTTCTTGCGTCCACGATGGCAGTGGTGTGCAAATGGATACAAAAACTCCCAACAATGTTGGGACCTACAGTGCTTCGTGGGAAGGATACAACCCATAAGTCTTTGTAAACCATGCGTAATGAGCATGTGTGGCCCCAACAATGTTGGAAGAGCTGTGTAAATGGACCCAACATTGTTGTGTGACGCTTTGGTGATCACGGAACAAAAGAAATGTTGGGAGTTGTTGGCTGAAAAGTTTGACCGGTTTCAAACTTTGCACAACAACATGCAACAGGGTGTAGAAATGGATGTAACATGTAACATCCAACAATGCTGGGAGTTGTTGGCCAACAATGTTGCGTCCGTTTGCACGGGGCTTAAAAGAATTGGTTTAGAGATGACCCTTCCTGGCCCCTTGATATGGTGCATGGTTTTGCTAACCAGCATTAAAAATGGAAACCACATTTTGATAAGTCTTAACAGTCTTTTTTTTAACCAGACTGGCCCAGGTTGACTGAATAATGCTCATTCAGTATGGTTGGAAAGATCTGTTCCCCCTGCACCAGTTAGGTATCGAAGTAGTCTATGACCACTGATGACAACACAAGCAGAACAAGGGACAGGGATAGACATGGGAGGTTGATATGTGAATGGTTCAGATGTTCAACATACCTTCAGAGGCCGCTGGATTCCATCAAAAATACTTCCCAAAATTCCTGTTGAATTTTTTTATCAGCAACAATATTAAAAACAACATTGAAAAATGAGCCTCTTAAATCTAACCCAAATTAATGACCATGCAGGGTGTTCATTAAGTATCAGAGATTGGAGAATTTAGACTCCCTTTACTAAGCTAAATTCTCCGGCTAGCGTTTGGTAGCATATGACTACTTTTTATTCCGACGCGGAGCTTTTTTTAAAATATTCTCCTGTAATGTTACACCTTTCTCCTGCTACTAGAATTCTAAATGAAAACCCTGCCATGTCTCATGAGCAACTGCAACCACTATTTAACCCATTCGCTCCTGGAGATTTTGCTGAAAAACGCGTTTTGAAGCTAGTCGAGTGGTTTTCTGGTCTTTGTCGTGCTATAAAGAGCTAAAGCTTACCACAAACCGGTTTCCAGGTCGTACACTTGGCGGCCTTCTGATCCAGATGCAAAATATGAGCTTGCGAAGTTCGGGCATGCGCAGAAAGCAAAATTTTGACTTTTACTTTCTCTCCTCCCTTCTTTTTTCGCTTTAATTGCCTCATTTTTTTTTCTCTTGCTGGGCATTTAGTAGGCTTCATTTTGGTGGCAAGAGTTTTTACGAAAGCTTTTAGGATCTTAGGATTAGGTGAAAGGAAAGGTAGGTGGGTAATGGAGCAAGATTTTCATGGAGATTTTCAGGTCAATGTCAGGTGGTTTTTTGCTTGTTTCTCCGGTGTCCTTGACTGAATTGTGCTCATTCTGGTATGACTTGAAAGATTTCTTCACTCTGCAAATGGGTCATCATGGTTTTAATGAGGCCCTGTCGGGGTAAAATTCCAACAAGCAACATGGGCTTGAAACGGTGACATAAGACAGATGAAATGGCAACAATCGACATGAAGATGGGTTGAAAATCCGAGAGCAACAAAAACAATCTCAAATGCTATAGCTTAATTTAGCAACATTGCCTTCTTCTCAAGATGCAAAATGACCTGGGCCCGGTTCTTAGAAAGATGGTTAAGTTTAACCTCCTTTTTAAGCTTTTCTTGTTAAATAACTCAAGCAAAAATGAACCTTTACTCTGCGCTTTGAAAAAAATTTTCTCTAAGACCATAGGAAGGTAAATCCAGAAAGGGGAACACAATCTTAATCCTGGATTAGCGCTAATAGGCCTTTCAGGAACCGGGCCCTGAGCTATAAAATTCAGACCAAGTACATAACCCTCCCTAGAAGGATTTCCATCATTTTTAACCACTGGTAACTTGCCACATGATCTCATCTCTATGTTTGCTGTACGTGGTACCACACTGGTATTTGGGTCCCAAATACAAGATTACCTCAGGGGTAAATTAATCTGAAGATCTGTTAGAGGTGAACTTCACATTACATTTGCTTTGAAATTATTGCATGCAATAATGTTCTCTTTAGAAATGTAGAGGGTCTGGACCTCTTTTTGAAAGAAGCCTCCTGTGGTTTGATTCACATAATATACCACTTCTCATAAGTGACTTCCATTTTGGGTGGTTGCTTCAGGAAGGTTTGACCGTATATCATAGCCTTTTTATGCCATTAGCAAAACACATATTGCTTTAATAATACACAGAAGCAGTTTTGAAGATCTTCTAACCCACCAGCACACCATGGGCAGTAATGATTTCTGTTAATACTGTAATTATTTACTTACTCACTTAATTATTTATTCTTTACTTCACAAAAACAACAAAATAAATAAGATATATATTTATTACAGTTACAGTGTACTCCTGTTTTCTATGGGCAAACAGCATAACTAAACTGTTACAGTACCTGGTCCAAGTTCAACTGACAGAGGTTTTCCAGTTCTTAGTACAGGATCACCAACAGTTACACCAGCTGTAAAGATGCTTGTTAAGGAATATTAAATAATAAAACCTTTGCTGATCTTAGTGAGATGTCAACCCAAAGTAAAAAGGGACCATCAAACACATTAACCGCAACACTGGGATAAAAACTAAAACTTGAAATCTGCTTGACTGTTGGACAAAGTAATAACTTCAAATGAAAATTCTTCCAACCGATCAAAATTGTTCTCATTTGTTGTCCCTATTCAATTTGATAAAATATCAAACAAAATTCATCTTGTGTGATTGTCCAAAACCATTTTTTACAAAGCATTTTAAAAGACATCACTCTTAGGGCTAAAACCAAAAACTTTCATTATTATGATAAGGGTTTTAGAGACAGCTCAATCATCTTAAAATATTTAGGAAAAAAAGCTTGGAAAATGGTGATGTTGTAATTTTAAGAAACGCATATTGGATACAAGTTTCTTCGTAAACCTGAATTGTTGCCATGTCTCCCTCCAGGCGAATAATCTCTCCAACCAATTCACTGTGTCCAACACGGACCTGATTTAGATAAAATACATGTAAGAAATAATCAATAATTTTTAAACCTGTAGAGTAGTGCAGGCCTTGGAACGTTCAAGGTTTTTTTAACAATGATAATGAATCTGTAGGCAGAATAGACCACAGGAAAATGATGTAACAATAATCAATACAAATATAAAATTAAAGCAAGCAAAGGCTTAGTGCTAGATGTTTTAAGCCATAGAGACTGTGCTACAGAAAACAATCACCCATAAAATAGTTTGGTCAATTATCATTTTGATTATTGAAATAATTTGATCAATCAGACAAAAATGTACTCGAATACAGGGTAAAAAATGTACTTCTAAGTCACAACACTTTTAGGCAAAAATGTTCACACAAACTGGTATGAATCGGGCAAAAATGCCTGTTTCGAAGGGGTGCGGAAAATAATTTATCCATGGCTAATTGCCAGTGTTACTTCTGAGATATCCGCATACATCTACCTAAAATATATGCGCATCTCTCGGTTGATCATAACCAAGTGTGCATATCTGTGCTGTCACTCTTGCACTAGCAACACGTAAGAGACTTGAAAAAGAAAAGGGAAAATATCTAGCACTAGGCTTCAGCTTTCCATGAGCTAATAATGAAAAAAAAAGCAGAGCTCTGGAGAAGCACCCTGAAAAGAGATATTAGTTGTCATGTTATGTAATAACCATAATACCATGGGCAAGTTTGTACTCCTTTCAGTTACTCCAGAATGAATGTGGCTGTAGAAGTTTAAAAGAGTGGAAAATAAATATGGTAAGGGGTACTATTGCTACAAGACTAGTGATTACACTTGGATGTGCTTTGTAAATCACAACAATGATTCTCATGCCTTAGAAATCAAAATAATATAGAATTTTTTGTGCGTACTGCGAGCTTTCTCTGATAATTGACCAGACAATTTACAATAGTTATAAGGGGAGGAAGTGGAGATTAAGTTTTATACGTAGTCACACACTTGATCAGTTGAGTTCAACGACAAAGAGTGGCATAATCTTCCATGTGAATAAAAATGGCCGGAGAAGCTTGAAAAACTTAAAATATAAAACTTCACAGCTGGAAGAAGAGGAAAGTTTATTTAATACATTTCAGCGAACTTTGACAAATCCATAAGGAAGATCTTTTGAGCTTTAGATTTTCACACTCACCAACTCGTACATAGCAGCACCGCTCATATTTTCTGCCGTCACGACTACAAAGAAAAATGACAGATCAATATAAGACTGATGTACTTAACGTACAGCAAAGAAACAGCTGAGGAATTGCTATGCATTGTAAATGATGCATGTTCGATCGCTGTGATCTGATCAGTACTCACCGGGTCCTGACACGGCGAAAACATAACCAAATTTGCTTTCTTTTTCTTGATCTTTTATTTTTGGTAACTTATTTGCGGCGTCCATCCCTCCAGCCTGTGAAAAACAATTGTACTTTTCAGAATAACAACTTTCACTATTTTTTTATGAATAAAATATACAAGGCATTGGACTACACAGGTTCACCCACCATCTTGGAAATGATTTAATAAAAGTCACGTGGGTGTCGCGCGATGGAAAACTAGCCGCTAGTGCCCAGTCCTTTCCATTTGTCCTTCGAAAACAAACATGGCGGAACTTATGCTAAAAGTTTGGCTCGCTGCTTTTATCGTTAATTTTGCACATTGGGAAATAACTTTAGTGGAAGGAAACACAGTAACGTCAGCCATTCAATTTACAAGCTCAAGTTCTCAGTCTGTGGAAATTCTATCATCAATAGCACCCACGAAAACAACAGGGAACAATTCTACAATACAAACCAAGTTGCCGGATTTGGAATGTCCAGACAGTGTTCCCTGTAGCCATCTTGGTGGTTCTTGTATTCAGTGTGATTTCAACTATTCGTGTATTTACGGAGAGGAGGTCAAAGCAGAGTGTAAACCTATTAGCTCTACCATCAAATGCACGGTATTAAATCTTTAACATATTTAATAACGTTTAATATATACGCCAACGTCGTAGTCGTCGTAGTTAATATCAGAGGTGTTAATTAAATTAAGCTTGTCGTCAAAGTGTTCGCCTAATTTTAGAACCCCATATTGCGATGGAAAATTTAGTGAAACATTTCTCATTCATTTTTCTGTGCTGTAGGGACCTCAAATCTTCAATAAAACGTTTAACTGTAGGTACTGTTATCAGTCACATCCCAAGAACTATAATTGCCAGAAACAGTCAGGATGCCAGGTAAGAAGTCACAAATACTTTTAATTGTTTTGTAGTACAACTTCATCAAATTTGGCGTGATTTATGCTAGAGATGAACAACCTGTGTAGATGACACTCTATCATTTAATTCTTGGTTTTCACATGATGTCACCAAAATTCAAACTAAGAAACTATTGCTTCTTCTTAGAAGCAATAGGGGCGAACAAATTTTTGATTCAAAAGGGTTCTTTGTTTTCCGAGACAGGATGCTTGAATTTCCAGGCTTTTGCGTGATGCCTCATTTAGCTAGCGGCCGGGAAAGCTCTTATGTGGGTTAAAAACATTACGGATTTTTGGAGATTTTGCTATCTATACATTCCTTGTCTTAGAATAAATATTACTTTAATCTTTATGAGTTCCTCAAGCAAAGAATTCACGCATAAATAGGAAAGCTCACAAACAGATGTTTCTGTTGGTTTCCGGCAGCCATATTTGTGCCCCTGAAAGGGACACAAACATTGCGTCTCCACACAAAGCTTTATAGATTTGGGTAAAACGTTTTTCCGAATACCTCGCATATGAACTATTGCATAGACCTGATTCTTGGCAAGGCTTTTTGTATAATTATTTATCTTCTTTCATTTCCCAGATTCTAGACTTTCTGCTTTCTCACATGAGTGAAAACTGAGAATATACCAAAGAGATCAATAAATTTATACTGTGGCTGTGTATAAAAAAGGCAAACAGACAGATTACCTGTCCAGCACATCTTTCAGGATTAACTAAGGAGAGAGTTTGTCCAAATGCAAGATCTGCCTGTTTCCTTGTGTTTATACACAAATAAATGCAATATAAAGGAGGTTGAAAAGTCACCAAACATATGAGCTGATTTATTCAATTTGTAAGATGAATTTCAAGACAAACCAAAGTGCCTACTTAAGTTTGTCCATATGGATCATCTGTTGCTTTTAAAAAAAGCCATGGGCCAATACTGATAGCTTCACTGTTTGAATCGCTTAACAACTTTGCTATTTGGATGGAATAGCATGTTCCTAATTCTCTTCTTCTCTTCTCTTCAATTTCAACCATAGTTAGTAGAGGAGACTGGTTAAGAAACCCGGCAAACATCAAAGTTGAAAACAATGGTGCTGTAGGTTATGTTGGAAGCTCCCTGACCGGGCACAATCCTTTGTTTTCTGTTCACAAATTATGACTGAATAAATTAATGCAATGTTTCTATTGGTCAGTAACTTTAAAATTATAGGAATACTTATTTATTGCTTGGATTTTTATTTCAGTTGTATATTGGTAAGTGTGCGACGAGGGGTGCAATTCAATTTTGGGCGCATGCATTATTTATTTATTTAAGTTGCGTGTACATTTAGTTCGTTTAATAACGTCTTAGTTTTGCTTTGTGTTATTTTCCTCACTTATATGTGTTGTCCGCGACTGTGCTCACACAGTTGGTGACTTCTCCTAAAATGTTCTGCAATTGGTACAGGATTTAATGGAGCCGAAACCAGTAGTGGAATTGCACATATTTTAGGCATCCTACTGATGAACAGTTAGGACACGTAGATATATTTTTTAGCAACTACTATAATTTGCAGTCTGTCTACTTTGAATTGAATTGAAGGCTGTGCACGGTCAGGTCCAAAAAAGCTAACAAAAACCTGTAACAAAAGGTCTCCCAACTTTTCCACTTTAATTAACTATGTTTCAACTAAACCTAGAGGAATATTTTAGCTGACACAGGGCTGTCGCTAACATTTCAAGTTGCCGGGTACATGCAATCAGTAGAAGGGGAATTGAACAGAAAGGAAGTACTTTCGTTTTTATTTCCCCCGGGGAGTACTGCCATATATGGGCTATATAAGTATGTGCCGCTATAAAGGGTATGGTTTTCAAGCCGTTTACTCTAGGATAGGGTATATAAATCAGAGCGTTTTGGTCTAGAATAGGGTCTCATTTTTCAGGAAACTGATCAGTTGGTTGAAGATTTTATCAAGACTGGGGAAACAGCCACTCTAGGATAGGGGGGGTTTGGGGAGTTTACTCTAGTATAGGGTAGCAAAATTCAGCTGAACTAGCTCTGGTATAGGTTAAGGGTTCCAGGGTCGCAGTGGCACATCCCCACCCAGAAATTCCTAAAGTACCCCCCCTCCCCGGGTTATTTTCCTTTTGTTTCCTATAAGATTAGTCGGGGATAACACTCATAGTAACTGGGGAAAATCCCCCGCCTCCGGCTCTTAGTGACAGCCCTGCTGACATACCAGAATTTTTTTGTAGGTGGTGTCCAGTCCTAGAGAGAGATACCAAACAAATTGCACTGTAAAAGATGATATTATTTGTTTAGGTAAGATCTGTTTTTACTACATATTTGGTCATAACTGACTGCGGGACAGCCCTCAGAATTTTTTCATCATTCTATTCTGACAGTAATAAAACTTTTTCATTATGTTTATTCATCCTTATCACAGGAAAAAATAACGGATTCCCATTTTTTGGGTATTTTTTGGATATTTTAGTGAGACAAGTCCCAACCAGGGAATTCCCAACCAAGTTCCCTGATTGGGACTTGTCTCACTCTTCCAATTTTGGGATTTTTGTGGGTATTCTTTAAATTCCCTAAAATATCTAAAAATGGGAATCGGTTAATTTTTCCTGTGTATGGAGTTAACCAGTAATATTAAATGTATTTGTAGTAAGGTTTTTGATCCTCATTTTTCTCTATTTCCATCTGGTCTAGTGTTTTTTAACAGTAAGGGAAGGAAAAAGGAATGGAGTAAAAGGAAAAAGAAAATCAAGCTAAAGAAAAAGAGTTCAAGAAAAATCAATTAGTGCAAAGAGCCTAAATTTGCCTCTCCTATCAAAGCTGAGATAACCAAGTTTCATTGTTTGTAATGTTACATCCTATAACTACAGTCGACTTCCAATAATGATTTTTCGAACCCTCACTAACTTGAACCACATGTTAACTTGAACCAAAATCGATTTCCCCTGGATTTCCATCATACATTTACTTCAATTTTACCCTTGGTAACTCGAACCCTCAATAACTCAAACTTCCTGCCAACTTAAAGTAATTCTTGTTCCCCTTTGGATCATTAATTTCTATATAATTTTACCCTCAATAACTCGAACCATGTTTTAAGCACGTGATAAGTAAAAACTAAACAAAAAACACTCTACTGCAGTCCAAAACATTGAATTTGTTTTAAAGCAACCATGTATTTGTCAGTGTAGTACAAATACAGTATCCAATTTAATCGAGCTTTGTTGTTTACTTTTTTAAGATGTCAATATATCTCTTGCTGCCCTGCATGAAGTGAAGAGTGCATGGTACTTGCATTGCATTTCTTCCACATTCCTAAGGTTTCCTGTCTTGCCAGTCACCACCACAATGTTTATTAATTTTATGTGACTTTTGAAAGGCATTTTTCCCTTATTTCCAGTTATTGGCTCTAAACTCCAGATAACTGGAGCTAACCGGTAAAATTTACATGTACCGCCTGAAGCAACGCCCTAAAGGTGTACTAAAATTATTGAAGAAGTATTTTTAAAAGATACACAAGTTGGGATCTGATCCAATTCTCACATGCCACAAGGAAATGAATGAATATATGGAAAAGTACTAAGTATCACAGCTTTCCTTTTTATGGGCCATGCATTTTGGAAAGAGAACATTGAAGACAGTAAAATGATTGGAATCAAATTATTGATTTAAATTGTTGTGTAAAGGTAACAACGACCTTAAAATGTCATTCCTGCATTTTAAGACCTATTTTATGCAAATTGTGCATAAAATAGGTCTTAAAATGAAGGAATGACATTTTAAAGAAGTTAATTAGCTCAATTTCCCAGGAAAGGCAGGGCCATGTCCCGCACTCCACTTCTCCCTGCCCCCAGGAAAGTGCACCTTTGGTGCATATTTTTTGCCTCACTTGCTATGAATGTTCCCTTACATGCTGAGCTAAAATTTAGGGAACAATGCTGGAACCCCCAATTTCCCTTGAAGGTTCGAGTTGTCTTGAGTCGACTGTACGTATTGTGTGCGTTCTGTCCCTTACAATCTTGACAAACTAAAAGTGAGGAAGATTGTACAAACTAAGAATCTTTTTCAGGCTCACCAAAAATGGTTTCAAGTTTGTTTCAGTTTATTCTCCAGTTTTACTCTCACCAGCTATATAACAGAACCCAGATCAAAGAAGGCACACAAAGCAAAATGAAATATGGGATGACCTATAAAAATGTTCTGGAAAGATAGTCTGATAAATCTGAATAATTTTCCTTGTTCCCCCTTTCATCAATTAAGGTAATCGTACATTTCCAAAGTTGTTGCTGTGCAACTGGACGTCAGGATATCGATGGTCAACTTCAGTATTGCTGAGGTATAGTATTGGCAACATTGGTACTGAACAACATTGTTATTTTGTAACTTTTCTATCTATTTGTTCTTTGCTACTTTTGCAGCCATGTGAGTTTCTTATCTATGGTATACATATATCTACTGTACGTAACACTTGTCTATAATTCTTTTGTTGTACGAGAAACTTTCTTTTTTTGAAAACAAGGTGGAGAGTTAAACTCAACCCCTTATCCTGTGGCTTAGCCAACCCATAGTTATTAGAGGAGACTGGTTATGAAAAGCGGCAAACATCAATGATAAAAACAACAGTGCTGCAGTTCATGTTCAAAGCACCGTGAAAGTGCACAATCCTTTGTTTTCTGTTGGCAAATTGTTACGGAATAAATTAATGCAACGTTTTTATTGGTCTATACAATCAAAATGATAGGAATTCTTTTGAACGTTGTGCACTTTCAGGTCCACAAAAACATATAACAAAGGAGTCTGACGGGTTTCATAACCATTCCACTCAATTAACTATGGCCAACCCGTCAATCATGACAAATTTTCCCAGCCAGTAGCGCATATGGAATACATCATGGACAAACTGGTCAAGTTACCTGAAAGTCATCTTGCTTGAAGTTTTGGCACCCAAACTGCTGAGTTAATTTATAACTAGACACACAGCCACAAAGGCTTAAAGCACAGTCCCTAAAAACTTTGTATTTGTCATTCTTTGAAGATGAAAATTAACTTTTCAGTAACTTGAATGTAAACACTTTAACTGTATGACTAGAGTCATTATATAATAATATGTGCCAAGCCCCAAAATACACTAATAACATTCCTTTGAGTCAAACAAGCTCCCAATAGCCCCTATGCATGATTACGTCAGACGAGTAAATTTCACCAACAAGCCTCGTTTGTGAACAAAATTTTTTGCATTTGCACTTTTTGTGTGTGGGTATTCTTTTCAACTCTACTGCCTTGGGAATTCATTTCTGTGAAACTTCGCTTATTTTTAATTTCAAAACGAGGCTTGGTGGTGAAATTTGCTTGTGTGACGTAAACATGCATAAGGGCTATTATTGTTGCACGATTTTGTCTTCCTTATCAAAAAAGAAATTTCCTCAGTTATGTTTGATGACATATCATTTCTTAGTTGTGCATATATGTTACAGGTCAAAATTAAATTCAGGTTAAAATTTTTTTACTAGGTTGATTCTCAATTTCCTTTGTATCCTATCCCTAATTATTCATGAATTAGGATGAGGAAACAAAGAAAACTGAGAATCAATCAGGTTAAAAAATTTTAACCTGAATTTAATTTTGACCTGTAATATATACATTAAAGAAAGAAACTAGGTTTATTTTGTTACCACTCAATGAAAGGTAGATGGAAGAGAATGTCTTGCTTTTTAGTACATTTATAGGCTTTTTTGAAAATACCATAATACTCTTTGTTGTCCCTCCAAAAATTTGCATAAGCATTGTTTTCAATTTCTCTTAAGACTTACAATTGCCCCAAGAAAAATTGAATACAATGCTTATGCAAAATTTTGGAGGCACAACAAAGAGTATTATGGTACTTTTAAAAAAGGCCTATTACAAATTAAACACTAAAGAAACATCTAAATGTTCAACAGTCAGATCATGGGAGTTTAACACGTACATGTAGCATGTAGGTTTGCTATCTGCAGTGTCTATCACTTTACTCCCAATATAAACTGGCTTCCGGGTGACTGACTGTATATGCCCAAGGTTAGTAGCAATACATGCAGATACAGAGTATATAATGTCAAAAGAAAAATTAATAAATCATAAATAAGTTTCCACAGGAGCCCATAACCCGGAGCGAGCAACTCCCATCATTGGACAGATTTAGCACATTTAGGAAATTTTTTTTAATTACATCATTGTCCAATGATATTATCCATGTATATTCCCGACTGTAAAATCAGACTTGCTTCTTTCCGTTGTTCAGATCCTTTAACGCTGCAATTCTGGTTTTGACTGATATCTTTGTAATCAGATAGGAACATTGTTTTCTTTCCCCTTTGGCGGTTTAAAAACAGTAAGATAAAAGAGTGAATCACAAGTAACTTGATGCTATCTAAAAAAATAGAATTGCATTATCCTTGCTTAAGCTATATATGCTGATTAAAATGAGTAAAATTTAACTGTTTTTGTATGTTTCAGCTTAACCTTAGGTGGTTTTGGCGTGGACAGATTTTACCTGGGGCACTGGAGAGAGGGCCTTGGAAAACTCTTCAGCTTTGGAGGCCTTGGAGTATGGACCCTTGTGGACCTGATTCTTATTATTATTGGATACGTTGGACCAGCGGATGGCTCACTCTACATATTCTAGACATGTTCGCCGAACTCTTTCTAGTGATATTATTCATTCCTGTTAGGAATGCAGGGTCATTCCTTATGGAGAGACGGGTCCGGGAGTTAGCTGATGCTGATAGGACTTCCTTCGGCACGCCTCCAAAATGTCCTTTATTGAGAGGGCTAAACTGGAAAGTGCAACGCCGCAAATCCTAGCAACGCTACAGAAAATGAAAACATGAAAAACTAAAAACAAAACGAGAATAGGAAGATAAGGAAAAGCCGCAAATCAAGGAAGATGACCACGCCCCAAAGACCAAACTGAGGCCCGACACTCAAACGAGTGAAATTTGAAAACATAAAAAACTAAAAAAGGTTGCAAAACGAAATTTAGGAAGAACATCCTGTTAGTTTACTAAACTTTTTAAAAGTTTACTAAAAAGTTCTAAGGAAAAACCGATGGAAGTTGACCAGTGGCGGATTTTCAAACATGATTCTCTTTTAGGGGCCCAGGGCTCAAAATTTTGAGAAAAATGGAAAGATAGTTATGTTGACTAACTGATTTATACATCTTTGCCCATTTTTCTCTAACTGGTACAAAAATAGCGAAACGTTTGAGGCCCGAAGGGCCGAAAAACAGTTGTTGAGACTGGACACTCCCCTTATCTCAGGATCTGGATGACTGCCCCCTCCCCAGGTCTGGATCCGCTACTGATGACTGACAGGACTTCAAACAATCAATTTGTGTGTTTCGCCGATACGGACGCCCGCTGTGTACTCACGGTTTAGCAAATTTTGCATGAAAACAAAGCCATCGATGTAAAAATTAACACCTGTACAAAGAGATCGTCGTTATTTTTTGTCTTTATTTAGGTTTCTTGCTGGGGGTGATTTTTAATGTGTTTTTGTGTGTGTGTCGGTTTTATATTCGAAAGAGATTAGAAAAAAGGGGGAAACCTATACTACATAATCTTGTTTTCTCCGCGTATTAATTGTGAGGGCTGTATTAAAGGATGATGAATAGCCACCTTCTCTACCCCCTGAACTTCAGGAGCTAGGGTTCGCCTACATTTGACAAAGTAAGTGGGTAGGAATAATCGCGATAAAGACTGAAAGAACGCTTATTCCTTCGGCAGGAGCGCGAAGTAAAGGACTGGCGACGCTCAGGAATGTCCCAAAGTTGCTTTTTGGGGGACAAGATTGGGCATGCAAAGTCTGTAGGTTTTCGGCTTTATTCGGCTATTAGACGAAGTGAGAGCCGATCTAGTTTGAGATGTCGCGAGATCAATTCGATTTCTTTGTTATTCGAGGAAGAAACAATTATTTTTGTGGCTTGACGAGGCTTGCCCGGGGTTTGATCCGACCCACCTGTGTAACCCATCAGATCAGATGAGACCCTAAGTTGCGGGATTGGCCGATTGCGCCACTTCGATCCAAGGTAACTTGAAATGTGAAAAATAGCTATACCGGTAAGTTATGCACGAGGTACGGGATAAGTTGGTGACTTTTCGGCTTTTTCTTGTTTATTATTCTGGCTAGAAATATTGACTGCGAAAGCTTGCAGAAAACATTGAATCAATTTGAGCTAGTAGCTTCAAAATATGAGCGAAAATCGAACCGACAAGAGCAATTTTCAGTGCGTCTCACTTCGTAGACGAGTTTGCCTAAGGGGCCGTCTACTTATTCACTTTCCCTTCGCTTATCGTCAACTGGACATTTAGTGGGGAGGGGGGTAAGGCAGTAGATGTTAGTGCGGAGCATTTTGCACAAAAGCTAACTGATGCATTTTCATAAATTTTACCTTTGTGGAGCGGCGCTCGTGACATTATTTAAGAGAAAGCTGATGACCACTTAAAGAAGTGAATGAAATTGTGATCTTTTATAAAACTGTGCTCTTAACTACTAGCAAATTGTATATTTTACATTGTGATTTTTTAAAATCTATCCTTAATCACCAATAAATTTTTTCAAAACCAAAAATTATGGTTAGTCCAGTTGACGTTAAGCGGGGAAAAAGTGAATATGTCGACGGCCCCTAAATATGTCGCGCCATGTGTTTCTTCAAAGTGCGTTTCAGTTTGGCTTTTCATCGTCGAAACCTTGTCTTTTCCCCCTGGAATCTAGCTTGAAATTCGTTATACATCGTGGAAACTCCAAATTTATTAGTTTGCGGGTTAAATTCCACTGCGGCCCGAAGTAAGGTTTATTAATTTTAAAGCTAACTGTACTATCCATTTCAATACACGTTTAAAAATAACACCACATAATACGCAAAAAAGAAGGAGAAGAAAAGAAAGAACAAAGTAGGGATCTTCACGACGATATTCGCGGTGAGTTACCCATCCAATTCCTAACCCAGACTGACAGGGCTTAACTTGAGTGGCGCTACTGAAAAACCGCGTTTCGCGAGGGTTATTGCGAGATACGTATTTCTAGTTTATGTTGCGATGTTGTACATGAATTATCCTCTGAATCAATCAATAAATAATCTTTATTTATACACGATAAGTATTTAAAGCGACGCTTCGGTTGTGGGGTCGTGTCTAAATAATTAAATAAGATCTCTGTGTCGAGATTGTGCATTTTCAGCAAGTTTTGTAAGGGAGTGTACCGATGTTAGTTTATAGTTACGTTGCTGGAGAAGGTGTGGAGTTTACTGAACATTAGGAAAGTGTTGTTGTAGAGAGAAATAAAGGAAGTCGAACTGAGATCTCGCCGTGCGCAATTAGTTATGACAGAAATTATAATCGAATTGGGTGACACCCATGCACCTAGCAGACTTCCGGTGAAGATGTTAAGACGTCTGTTTACACAAAAGAAGAAAAGTAAGGGTACTGGTATGGAAGGGGTTCTGGAAAAATATCATTTCTTACAATTCCTCCGCATTCACAATTAATACACAACCACGACGCCGAAGTGCACGCTCCCATAGTGTCTTGTTCACTTATTTTAGGCACGTTCTCGTTGCCGCCGCGTCGTTGGATCTTAAAGTCCCTATCTTGGCCGGAAAATGCGATTGTCGTCGCCATTTTACTACGGGTTTTAGCGGTTGCAGCGAGAATGTCCTTGTGGCGGAAATAAGTTATCAAATGCTGGAAGTTGTATCATTTTGCGATCGAGAGAGGGCGTAACTGGTTAAAAAAAGGGTACGTGCCACAAGTCAGAACTGGCTGGTCGGACCGGTCCAATAAACTGAAATGACACTTCACAATTTCCTTTCCATGAACTCCAGTTTATAATCACCGCAGAGGTTTCTAAACGACAATAACTGGAACGGTAAATGAGCTATACAGATAAATGTTCTATACACCGAATAATAATCTGTGTATAAATACAAATACAAAGAAAGGTACACCGAGGAAATAATTAAACTGTGAATGAATAAACTTAAGGTAATCAAAATCATACACTTGACGTTGAAGATATATCCGACATCGATAACGATGCATAAACTAGGCGTCGAATGACGGTTACAAGCGTTAAACTTAAAGGTGGGAGCAAAGGCCTGCAAAAGTAACCGCTGCTGCAAATCAGTCGCATGACAACATATTAAAAATTAAAATCTTCTTCCAAGTGGTTATAGTTTCATTGTTGTTCTTTGAGTTAATGGCCTGATGATCGATTATCGAATGTGAACTATCAATGAATGACTGGATCTTAGCTAAACTTTTACCCTGTGAGCAGAGGGTTATCTAGGAAAGCTTAGGAAGATCGAAGGGCCTCTGCTAGCAGGCCAGTACTAAACTTTGGGACACCCGGTTATTCTAGATAACAAAAAATAATGTGGTCGAGTCATTTTTAAGCGGAAAATGCGTCAATGATGTAACATATTTCACACCTATAAGCAAACTATTGGAGTTTAAGGGAGATTTTTTTTATGTTATCTGCACTCATGAACGTCAACAATGTCATGTCACATGAGCTTGTAGAGCTCATGACGGCAGGCATTGAACTTTTAATGAAACATTTATTAACTTCAACTCTGTATAATTTGGAGTAAATTGCTAGGGACGTTTCGGGCGAAACGTCCCTAGCGGCGAAGAGCGAGGAGAAACGGATGTTTTCGCAGGCGATTGGTCACTTCCTGTGGGTGGAACAATAAGCAGACAAAAAAATTGATTTTGATACTTAAATTTGCCCGTAACACTTATCTCGGGTCAAAAAAAAAAAAATTGGCTGGATGATCAATAAATGACACTTGTGCTGCAAAACTAGTGCAAATTATGCAAGCAACGTTTTTTTCTGGAAAAACATAAAAATTATGCTCGTAATGACGAATTATGCCAAAAATTATGCTAGCACAATCTATCAAAGCCTACGTTGTAATGTTCTTATTAATTTCTTCTATTGAGTACAAACGATCGATGGTCAGATTTTAATAACAGCAACTGCCACACGAACGAAGGACAGTGACGGGCTTTACAACCATTCTACTCTATTAACTATATGGTTAAAAGAAAGCCCTCCCAAACCCATGTTCGCGCTTTCATTGTTATTGGTTTATTTTTGAAATTACTCCTTTTGGACTAATTCCCCGACCCACCCCCCAAGTGAACGCTTCGGCAGTGTCTTGTTTAATAACTCAATTCATTTTAATTTATTAATTTCGCCCCATGAATACACAGATTCGATTTACAGTGATACAATTACAGCATTATTGAATTATTATATCCGATGGTTAGTTGCTTGTTGTGGCATTTACCAAGAAAAATTAAACTTAAAAAACGTCATTCGACGTTTTGATGCATCACACATCATTATCAAGAGTAAGAAATGTTAAGTTTTTAAGTTGTTTTAAGGGCTGAAGTTTGAATAAATTAGGTTGTATTCGTGCGTGCTCCATTGTTATGTAGATTCAATAGAAAATTTTAGAAAGAATCGAATCCGATGCACACTCAATGATGGTTTGCGCTCTTGTATTAATAGCAGCTCGTAGACAGGGCATTTGAACTTGTTTTCTGCATTCTTTGAGAACCGAGAAACTGTCCGTTAGGTTTGGATTCTCGACCCCATGTTTCTTCATGTGCCTCCCGATCGACGAATTTGAGCTTTTGTGTTGCTCATGCGCCGCTGATGTAGGTGCCGATTGGTGAAACCACAGACAACCCAGACGTAGGATGTGTCACTGAATGAATATATTAATATTCACATGGACAAAATAGGACGAGTCGTCGAAACTCCCATGAACTAAAATAGTCCAAAAGTCAATTGCAAAACTCAACAAAATGCCACTTTAACCGGCCAGGAAAGACAAGGATACGTTCAGTTAAAGGTATCTTAGCTTTGTTTTGTTATAGTTTGACTTTTGGACTATTTTAGTTCATGGGAAACGAAACCGACATATTGCAAATTTCGCAAACATACTTTTTCTCGAATTATTATAATGACCATTAAATTCTATATTATAAGCAAGTGACGCTGCACCCCTCAACAAACCCTCGTGGGCTTTAACTAGGAGAGCCCCTAAAGAAAACATGTCGTCTTGACTTGTAACATGTCCGCCCTCCCCTTAGATCGATTTCCTTTTAGCCCGGTACCTCGATCGACTCAACCTCGTCCCCAGGGCGCTTTTCCCTGGCTTAGGAGGTGGGGCGGGAAAAGGCCCTGGCATCGGCCGGCCAATCCGTCATTTTGATTGGTTGATTGATTTAGGTAATTCATGTAAGAAAATGGCCAGATGAAAATAATTTATGCATTATAGCGAAATCGAAAAGGCGGAAAGCATGTCCACTTCCACGGACGAAACCAGCAAGACAAAAGATCTGTATTCGATTTATAAAACCTGTGGCAATGTCAATAAACATTTCTGAGGACGATACGAGGTCGGCAGTGTTATGTAGGGGTGGCGTTACATTCGTAAAAAATGGATATTTATTTGGAGAGGTTAATCAGTAGACAATACGCTGTGTGATCTTAAAGAATATTCTGTACAGCGATGCGTTCAACTTTTCCTCGCATCAGCCGTTCTATCAAAGCTCGAATTCGATGTGGATGAGCCGCA